AGTTTGGTACTAGTCCCTCTAGGATTTTCCAAGTGTATATAATCATGCTTCTCTCCCGCCTGAGTTCCAGGGAATACAGGTTCAGGAACTTCAAGCGTTCCCAGTAATTGGGGTGGTTTATCGCAGTTATGTGTGCTGTGAAGGTTCTCTGTACATTTTCTAGGTCAGTAATTTCACCTGCCTTCAAAGGTGCTGTTAGAGTGCAGCAATATTCCAGCCTAGATAGAACAAGCGACCTGAAGAGTGTCATCATGGCCTTGGCCTCCCTAGTTTAGAAGGTTCTCATTATCCATCCTGTCATTTATCTAGCACTTGCGACTGATACAATGTTATGGTCTTTGAAGGTAAGATCCTCTGACATGATCACTCCCAGGTCTTTTACATTACTTTTTCACTCTATTGTGTGGTTGGAATTTGTTTTATACTCCGATGTAGTTTTAATTTCCTCATGTTTTCTATATCGGAGTAATTGAAATTTCTCATCATTGAACTTCATATTGTTTTCTGCAGCCCATTTAAAGATTTGGTTGATGTCCGCCTGGAGCCTTGCAGTGTCTGCAATGGAAGACACTGTCATGCAGATTCGGGTGTCATCTACAAAGGAAGACACAGCGCTATGGCTTATATCCCTGTCTATGTCAAATATGAGGATGAAGAACAAGATGGGAGCAAGTACTGTGCCTTGTGGAACACAGCTTTCACCGTAGTTGCCTCAGACTTTACTGTTTACTACTACTCTTTGTGTTCTGTTTGTTAGGAAATTATAGATCCATCTACCATCTTTTATTGTTATTCCTTTATCACGCATTTTATGCGCTATTACACCATGGTCACACTTGTTAAAGGTTTTTGCAAAGCCTGTGTACATTACATCTGCATTTTGTTTGTCTTCTAGAGCATCCAGGACCTTGTCATAGTGGTCCAGTAGTTGGGAGAGACAGGAGCGATTTGCTCTAAACCCATGCTGCCCTGGGTTGCATAACTGATGGGTATCTAGATGGGTGGCGATCTTGCTTCTTAGGACCCTTTCAAAGATTTTATGATATGGGACGCTAGCAGTATCGGTCTGTAGTTCTTTGCTATTGCTTTACTGCCCCTCTTTATGGAGTGGGGCTATGTCTGTTGCTTTTAGTAGCTGTGGAACGACCCCTGTGTCCATACTCCCTCTCCATAGGATGTTAATAGCACGTGATAGGGGCTTCTTGCAGTGCTTGATGAACATGGAGTTCCATGAGTCTGGGCCTACCGCAGAGTGCATGGATATGTCATTTATCGCCTTTTCGAAGTCATTTGGCGTCAGGATAATGTCAGATAGGTTTGTGTTTGCTAAATTCTGTGTCTAACTCATAAAAAAATCATTTAGGTCTTCGACTCTGTCTGGTTCGGGGCTCGCTAAAAACCGAGTCATACTGGGACTTGATTAGCTCACAAATTTCCTTGCTGTCATCTGTGTAGGACCCATCTTGTTTAAGTAGGGACCCAATACTGGATATTGTGCTCAACTTTGATTTGGCATAAGAAAAGAAATACTTTTTTTTTTAGTTTCATTTATGGCTTTTAGTTCTTCCCGTGTTTCTTGACACCTGTAAGATTCCTTTAGCTTAAGTTCGATGTTTGCTATTTCTCTGACCAGTGTCTCCCTACATGTTGCAGATATATTGGCCTCTTTTAGCCGCTCTGTTATTCTTTGCCTTCGCCTGTATAGGGAGTGCCTTTCTCTTTCTAGTTTACACCTTCTTTTCCTTAAAGGAATATGCCTTGAGCATACCTCGAGTTCCACGAGTTAATTTGTTCTAAACATAGGTTTGGATCCGTGTTGCTTAGGTTTTCTTCCCAGTTTATATCATTTAGGACCTGGTTTACTTGGTCCCACCTTATGTTTTTATTATTTAAGTTGAATTTGATGAAGGCTCTCTCGTGACTGATCACATTTTGTTGGTCTTTGGCCCCTCGCATACGTGTCTGAACCTCTATTAAGTTGTGATCTAAGTATATTTATTGTTTTTGATATGGTGACATTTCGTATCAGATCATCATTGTTAGTGAAGATGAGGTCCAGTGTATTCTCCAGTCTTGTAGGCTCTGTTATTTGCTGGTTTAAAGAGAATTTGGTGCAAACTTAATTATATAAACGTCCAGTAATTATAAGTTAAACTTGAGGTTAGGCTATGTAAGATTCGTCAGAAACACAAGTGTTTTCTGTCGTGAGTCTTAGTCATATGATGACCCACCACTGGAGTTTTTGGTCATCTGACCGAGGCTTTTGCTGGCTTACCGGTCTACCCCTTTAAAAATTAAGATTATAATTATCATCAGGCAACTCTTAAGGCTGCCCGAAATGCTCCGCATAGTTTAGTTTAATATGTTTATTATGCACCCCATACTCATCCTGTGGGCGGTAGTCAAAAGATTACAGACGTACATAATTGGTCTAGGGACTGGACTCCAAAGTTTTGATAGCTGAGCAAGTTACAGAGGTAATGAACTCACAATTTACAAAGGTAATGAACTCACAATTTACAAAGGTAATGAACTCCAGGTAGGTCTGGTCACAATCATGACAAGTTACAAAGGTATTTACAGATTACAGAGGTACGTAATGGGTCCAGGGACTGGGCCCCCAAAGTTTTGATAGCTGAACTAGGTACAAAGGTAATGAACTCACAAGTTACAAAGGTAATGACTTCTGTAAGAATGGTTACTTACGTTTATACATGGCTACAATCATGAACAAATTATAGTGTAATGAGCAATTCACACTTCCACACCCGGTCACAACTGTAATAAGTTATTGGTGCAAATATTGATTGTTGAGTCACACACACACACACACACATATACAAATTCATACACACACAACACACACACATAAACACACACACACACACACACACACACACACACACACACAGTCTAGGGGTCAGAGACTACAAACCTCACTCAAGGAAAAAGATCTTGGGTGAGTATAACACCAGGCACATCTCCTGAAGCGCACATCAACCAAATAACTGCTGCAGCATATGGGCGCCTAGCAAACCTCAGAACAGCATTCCGACATCTTAATAAGGAATCGTTCAGGACCCTGTACACCGTATACGTTAGGCCCATATTGGAGTATGCGGCACCAGTTTGGAACCCACACCTAGCCAAGCACGTAAAGAAACTAGAGAAAGTGCAAAGGTTTGCAACAAGACTAGTCCCAGAGCTAAGAGGTATGTCCTACGAGGAGAGGTTAAGGGAAATCAACCTGACGACACTGGAGGACAGGAGAGATAGGGGGACATGATAACGACATACAAAATACTGAGAGGAATTGACAAGGTGGACAAAAACAGGATGTTCCAGAGATTGGACACAGTAACAAGGGGACACAGTTGGAAGCTAAAGACACAGATGAATCACAGGGATGTTAGGAAGTATTTCTTCAGCCACAGAGTAGTCAGTAAGTGGAATAGTTTGGGAAGCGATGTAGTGGAGGCAGGATCCATACATAGCTTTAAGCAGAGGTACGATAAAGCTCACGGCTCAGGGGGAGTGACCTAGTAGCGATCAGTGAAGAGGCGGGGCCAGGAGCTCGGACTCGACCCCCGCAACCTCAACTAGGTGAGTACAACTAGGTGAGTACACACACACACACACACACACACACACACACACACACACACACTCACTGACACTCATACTGACATTCACACACACGCGCACACACACACACACACACACACACACACACACACACACACACACTCACTGACACTCACACTGACACTCACACACACACACACACACACACACACACACACACACACACACACACACACACACACACACATCACTGACACTCACACTGACACTCACACTGACACTCACACACTCACACACACACACAAAACACACACACACACACACACACACACACACACACACACACACACAATTCACACTCACGCACACGCGCACACACACACACACACACGCATAACCAGGGGCTTTCTATAAAGCGTGTCAATGTCAACTAATCCTATATCTGGAGAGTATAGCTGTAGGGATTTCGGAGGTCAACGCCCCTGCGATCCAGTCCGTGACCAGGCCTCACGGTGGATCAGGACCTGATCAACCAGGCTATTACTGCTTGCAGCACGTAAACTAACGTACAAGCTACAGCCCGGCTGGTCAGGAACTGTCTTCAGGCGCCTGTCCAGAGACTTCTTGAAAACAGCCAGGGGTCTGTTGGTACTCCCCCTTATGTATGCTGGAAGGAAGTTGAACAGTCTTGGGCCCCTGACACTTATTGTGTTATGTTAACTGTATAATACACTTTTTAGAAATTATTATTATTATTATTATTATTATTATTATTATTATTATTATTATTATTATTATTTATTATTATTATCGTAAAGGTCTGAAGTTGATCAATTAGTTAGATCCTGATTAGTTCCTTATCTAGTAATTCAAGATAACCCAAAACATAATTGTCATCAAACCGCCTCTTTTCCACCAAGGTCCTTCACCAGCACCTCCAGTATACGACATTTAATATATATCACATAATAATAATAATAATAATAATAATAATAAATAATAATAATAATAATAATAATATCTTTATTTTTACAAGTACATGCACAAGGTATACAGGTCTAGCTGACATCAATGACAATCAGCCCGTAATGCTATGCATATAAGTGGCTTTGGCATGCTGCTCTTACTACTATGTAGAAAGTCGCTTGTTATGCTGAGCATTTCGGGCAAATTAGGTCAACTTTGCCCCAGGATGCGACCCACACCGGTCGACTAACACCCAGGTACCCATTTTACTGATGACTAAACATAGACAACCGGTGTGAGGAAACACACCCAATGTTTCTACCCTTGCCGGGAATCAAACCGGGACCCTCAGCGTGTGGAGGGAGAGTTTTTGCCACCAGGCCACGGGCCACCAAAGAAGCGATTAAAGGATGCAAGACTCATAAGCGGCAACTACCTGCAATACTTACCTCCGTGAGTGTCAAGTGGTGGTCTAGGTTGGGTGCCATGTTGAGAGAGGCGGAGATGACACTGCGTGCCAGTGATTGTAGGTGAGGTGTGCGCTGGGCACCACGGTACTGTTGACCTGACTCTTGATCACCACACACTGCACGAACTGACCCACCACTCACCACCAGCCATGTTTCCACCACCTCAGCTTCATCCTGTTTCCAACCAACACCCATTATTTAACGGGAAATTTGCTACGTATGTTGCAAGCGTAATCATGAAAAGTTTATCAACATTACTTAATCACAAAAGCATAACAAACATTGATTAGTAGCACAAGAGAACCTATACTAAGACAATAAAAAGAGAAGATGAATACAACATATTTTGAGCTCTTACTAAAAAGCGCCCGTGTGTAAAGCCGACATTTCCAGCAGTACTCAACTTATCTTCTGATTTATTGTTGGTTCATCTGTGTTACATTAGTTTCATGACTGCATTAATATATAGGCAGTTTAGTTAGTTTAATATGTTTATTATGCACCCCACACCCATCCTGTGGGCGGTAGTCAAAAGATTACAGAGGTACATAATTGGTCCAGGGACTGGACTCCAAAGTTTTGATAGCTGAGCAAGTTAGAGGTAATGAACTCACAATTACAAATGAAATGAACTCACAATTTACAATGGTAATGAACTCACAATTTACAAAGGTAATGAACTCCAGGTAGGTCTGGTCACAATTATGACAAGTTACAAAGGTATTTACAGATTACAGAGGTACGTAATGGGTCCAGGGACTGGGCTCCCAAAGTTTTGATAGCTGAACTAGGTACAAGGGTAATGAACTCACAAGTTACAAAGGTAATGAATCCTGTAAGAATGGTTACTTACGTTTATACATGGCTACAATCATGAACAAATTATAGAGTAATGAGCAATTCACACTTCCACACCCGGTCACAACTGTAATAAGTTATTGGTGCAAATATTGATTGTTGAGACACAGACACACACACTCACACACACACTCACACTCACACTCACACACACACACACACACACACACACACACACACACACACACACACACACACACACAGAGGAGCTTGGACTCGACCCCTACAACCTCAACTAGGTGAGTACACACGCACACACACACACACACACACACACACACACACACATCAAGATAGAGAGATTAGAAGAGGAGCTGAGACATCTGAAACAGCACAGAGACAAAGATATTACAGAAGTAGCATCGGCAATGGCTACATCAAACACAGACAACAGGTCTGAAGGAAGCATGGAAACTAAACTGTATGCAGAGGTCCTGTCAAACCCACATGGGGCCAAAACAAAGGCAGGGAGCACACTAGGACAGAATGAGAGGTTGGAAGATATTGAAGGAACTAGGACATGTGCAAGGACCTTACCAGATACCTGTGGGGCCAGGAACAGGTGAGCAGGAAGGACAAACCAAGAAGCATAGGGGCCATAACTAGGGAAGGGACTGAAGGAAGGAACACTCCACGGGAAGAAGCTAAAACACATCAGAGGATGCAATGGGAGTCACAGTGGGAGGAGGAAAGGGAGAGATCCGTGTTTGTCTATGGGCTAGACGAAGCTAAAGGGGAAACTTATGATGAAAGAAAGCAGGAGGAGAAAAAAGCGATAGAAGATATCATAAAGGTGATAGGCGAGGGGGACATGACCCAGGTGGCAAATTTTCGGAGAATTGGGTGGTTCACAAAGAAAAGGAATCGGCCTCTCAAAGTAATTTTCAAGGCAGAATCAACCCGAACCATGATCCTGCAGGAGAAAGCACGGCTGAGAGGCAAGCAGGAGTTCCGGAGTGTGTACCTCGATCGAGACAGAACACAGGACGAAAGGAAGACGATGAAAGAGAGAGTTCAAAAACGAAAGGAGAAATGGGAGGAAATGAAAAAGGAGAGCAGAATAACCCAGGATCAAATGGAAGGACAAGCACACCCCCCAGAAACACCTGCAGAAGGACTCCAGCCACGACACCCCCAAGGCAACTGAACAATCCAAACCAACCATCACACACCGATCCCTCTGTTTCCACCCCCGCACCACAGTTACAGTATTAGAACAGAAGTTGAAGGTTTGGTACACAAATGCAGATGGATTAACGAATAAACATGAGGAATGGCAAGAAAGAATCAATGAGAAGTCCCCAGACATCATAGCAGTTACAGAAACAAAACTCACGGAGACAATAACATATGCAATCTTCCCACCAGGATACCAGATCATGAGGAAAGATAGAAGGGGCAGGGGGGGAGGTGGGGTTGCTCTGCTCGTAAAAAACAGATGGAAATTTCGAGAAAATGGAAGGCATAGATGAGACGGGAGAAAGAGACTACATAGCAGGTACACTTCAGTCTGGGGAACACAAAGTGGTCATTGCAGTGATGTATAATCCACCACAGAACTGCAGGAGGCCAAGAGAGGAATATGAAGAGAGAACAGAGCAATGGTGGACACACTTGCTGAGGTGGCAAGAAGAGCTCATTCCAGCAGAGCAAAGTTGCTGGTTATGAGGGATTTCAACCACAGGGAGATCGACTGGGATAACCTGGAGCCACATGGGGGTCCCGAAACATGGAGAGCCAGGATGTTGGACGTGGTGCTGGAAAACCTCATGCACCAACATGTTAAGGACACTACCAGAGTGAGAGGGGAGGATGAACCAGCAAGATTGGACCTTGTGTTCACCCTGGGCAGCTCAGACATTGAGAACATCAAGTATGAGAGTCCCCTAGGAGCTAGCGACCACGTGGTTCTGTGCTTTGAATACTTTAGTAGAGCTGCAAGTGGAGAGAATAACAGGAGTTGAATGGGAAAAGCCTGACTATAAAAGAGGGACTACATAGGGTTGAAGAACTTCCTGCGGGAGGTCCAGTGGGACAGAGAACTGGCAGGAAAGCCAGTAAATGAAATGATGGAATATGTAACAACAAAATGCAAGGAGGCAGTGGAAAAGTTTATTCCCAGGGCAACAGTAACAACGGGAAGACCAGAACGAGCCCGGTTTACCGACGGTGTATGGAGGCAAAAAACAAAGTGCAATAGAGAATGGAAAAAGTACAGAAGGCAGAGAACACACGAAAATAGGGAGATCAGTCGCAGAGCCAGGAATGAGTATGCACAGGTAAGGAGGGGGGCCCCCAGCGACAGTATGAAAATGACATAGCATCGAGAATCAAGACTGACCCGAAACTGTTGTATAGCCACATCAGGAGGAAGACAACAGTCAAACACCAGGTGATCAGATTAAGGACAGAAGGTGGAGAACTCACAAGAAATGATCAGGAGGTATGTGAGGAGCTGAACAGGAGATTTAAGGAAGTTTTTACAGTAGAGACAGGAAGGGCTGTGGGAAGACAACACAGAAGGGAACATCAAGAGGGAATATACCAACAAGTGTTGGATGACATACGAACAACTGAGGAGGAGGTGAAGAAGCTCTTAAGTGACCTTGACACCTCAAAGGTGATGGGACCGGACAACATCTCCCCATGGGTCCTTAGAGAAGGAGTAGAGATGCTGTACATGCCTCTTACCACAATCTTCAACACATCCCTTGAAACTGGGCAACTACCTGAGAAATGGAAGACAGCTAATGTAGTCCCCATATTTAAGAAAGGAAACAGAAACGAGGCACTAAACTACAGACCTGTGTCTCTGACATGTATTGTGTGCAAAGTCATGGAGAAGATTATCAGGAGGAGAGTGGTCGAACACCTGGAAAGGAACAAGATTATAAATGAAAACCAGCATGGGTTCATGGAAGGCAAATCCTGTATCACAAACCTCCTGGAGTTTTATGACAAGGGAACAGAAGACACGAGAGAGAGGGGTGGGTAGATTGCGTTTTCCTAGACTGCAGGAAGGCCTTTGACACAGTTCCCCACAAGAGATTAGTGCAGAAGCTGGAGGATCAGGCGCATGTAAAAGGGAGGGCACTGCAATGGATAAGGGAATACCTGACAGGGAGGCAGCAACGAGTCATGGTACGTGAAGAGGTATCACAGTGGGCGCCTGTTACGAGCAGGGTCCCACAGGGGTCAGTTCTAGGACCAGTGCTATTTTTGATATATGTGAACGACATGATGGAAGGAATAGACTCTGAAGTGTCCCTGTTCGCAGATGACGTGAAGTTGATGAGAAGAATTAAATCGGACGAGGATGAGGCAGGACTGCAAAGAGACCTGGACAGGCTGGACATGTGGTCCAGTAACTGGCTTCTCGAATTCAATCCAGCCAAATGCAAAGTCATGAAGATTGGGGAGGGGCAAAGAAGACTGCAGACAGAGTATAGGCTAGGTGGACAAAGACTACAGACCTCACTCAGGGAGAAAGACCTTGGGGTGACCATAACCCGAGCACATCACCGGAGGCACACATCAACCAAATAACTGCTGCAGCATACGGGCGCCTGGCAAACCTGAGAATAGCGTTCCGATACCTTAATAAGGAATCGTTCAAGACACTGTACACTGTGTATGTTAGGCCCATACTGGAGTATGCAGCACCAGTCTGGAACCCACACCTGGTCAAGCACGTCAAGAAGTTAGAGAAAGTACAAAGGTTTGCAACAAGGCTAGTCCCAGAGCTCAAGGAATGTCGTACGAGGAAAGGTTAAGGGAAATCGGACTGACGACACTGGAGGACAGAAGGGTCAGGGGAGACATGATAACGACATACAAGATACTGCGGGGAATAGACAAGGTGGACAGAGATAGGATGTTCTAGAGAGGGGACACAGGGACAAGGGGTCACAACTGGAAGCTGAAGACTCAGACGAGTCACAGGGACGTTAGGAAGTATTTTTTCAGTCATAGAGTTGTCAGCAAGTGGAATAGCCTAGCAAGTGAAGTAGTGGAGGCAGGAACCATACATAGTTTTAAGAAGAGGTATGACAAAGCTCAGGAAGCAGAGAGAGAGAGGACCCAGTAGCGATCAGTGAAGAGGCGGGGTCAGGAGCTGAGTCTCGACCCCTGCAACCACAATTAGGTGAGTACAATTAGGTGAGTACACACCCACACACATTTTTTGCAGGCGCAGTATAGCAATGAGTTTCAAAAATGCCGTGAAGATACTTACCCTGCCAGTCGCTGAATGAAAGGTTCCGGACTGCCACTCTGACCCGACACTGAGACTCTCGAGTGATAGAGGCGAGGCCTTCAAGTGTGACCTTCCTGCTGGACTTGAGGGGACTGAGGCCGCTTGAATCAAGCTGAAGGTTCCACCATCCCTGGAGGGTGTAACTCAGGGTCTTCCCAATGGGCAGGTGGTTCACACCAATACCTGAGTGTGTATATTCTTTATTCTCCCACTTTTTAATAACTCACCAAAAAACTAATTTAGAGATGATACGGGATTTAAAAAAAAAAAGAAAATGTTTATATACTTTGCAAAGTTTACTTTTATTCACTTTATACACACACACACGCACACACACATACACACACACACACACTACACACACACACACACACACACACACACACACACACACACACACACACACAGATTGGGTACATATGCAAAATATATGTAGTACATACGAGGGAAATAAGGACTGCTTACATAAACACACACACACACACACACACACACACACACACACACACACACACACACACAACACACACCACAACACACAGATTGGGTACATATGCAAAATATATGTAGTACATACGAGGGAAATAAGGACTGCTTACATAAAACACACACACACACACACACACACACACACCAGGCCTAGTGTCTAATCGACATGTGCCTAGGACAAAATGGTAACTAACTAACACACACACACACACACACACACACACACACACACACACACACACACTAGCGATCAGTGAAGAGGCGGGGCCAGGAGCTGAGTCTCGACCCCTGCAACCACAATTAGGTGAGTACAATTAGGTGAGTACACTGTGGTTCTGTGCTTTGAATACATAGTAGAGTTGCAAGTGGAGAGAGTAACATGAGTTGAATGGGAAAAGCCTGACTATAAAAGAGGGGACTACATAGGGTTGAGGAACTTCCTGCAGGAGGTTCCGTGGGACAGAGAACTGGCAGGAAAGACAGTAAACGAAATGATGGAATATGTAATAACAAAATGCAAGGAGGCAGTGGAAAGGTTTATTCCCAAGGGCAACAGAAACAATGGGAAGACCAGAACGAGCCCCTGGTTTACCCGACGGTGTAAGCAGGCAAAAACAAAGTGCAATAGAGAATGGAAAAAGTACAGAAGGCAGAGAACACACGAAAATAGGGAGATCAGTCGTAGAGCCAGGAACGAGTATGCACAGGTTAGGAGGGAGGCCCAGCGACAGGATGAAAATGACATAGCATCGAAAATCAAGACTGACCCGAAATTGTTGTATAGCCACATCAGGAGGAAGACAACAGTCAAAGACCAGGTGATCAGATTGAGGACAGAAGGGGAAGAACTCACAAGAAATGATCAGGAGGTATGTGAGGAGCTGAACAGGAGATTTAAGGAAGTTTTTACAGTAGAGACAGGAAGGGCTGTGGGAAGACAGCACAGAAGGGAACACCAAGAGGGAATATACCAACAAGTGTTGGATGACATACGAACAACCGAGGAGGAGGTGCAGAAGCTGCTAAGTGACCTTGATACCTCAAAGGCGATGGGACCGGACAACATCTCCCCATGGGTCCTTAGAGAAGGAGCAGAGATACTGTGCATGCCCCTAACCACAATCTTCAACACATCCCTTGAAACTGGGCAACTACCTGAGAAATGGAAAACAACAAATGTAGTCCCAATATTTAAGAAAGGAAACAGAAATGGGGCACTAAACTACAGACCTGTGTCTCTGACATGTATTGTGTGCAAAGTCATGGAGAAGTTTATCAGGAGGAGAGTGGTGGAACACCTGGAACGAAACAAGATTATAAATGAAAACCAGCATGGGTTCATGGAAGGCAAATCCTGTGTCACAAACCTCCTGGAGTTTTATGACAAGGTAACAGAAGTAAGACACGAGAGAGAGGGGTGGGTTGATTGCGTTTTCCTAGACTGCAGGAAGGCCTTTGACACAGTTCCCCACGAGAGATTAGTGCAGAAGCTGGAGGATCAGGCGCATATAACAGGGAGGGCACTGCAATGGATCAGGGAATACCTGACAGGGAGGCAGGAGCGAGTCATGGTACGGAAGAGGTATCACAGTGGGCGCCTGTGACGAGCGGGGTCCCACAGGGGTCAGTTCTAGGACCAGTGCTATTTTTGATATATGTGAACAACATGATGGAAGGAATAGACTCTGAAGTGTCCCTATTTGCAGATGATGTGAAGCTGATGAGAAGAATTAAATCGGATGAGGATGAGGCAGGACTGCAAAGAGACTTGGACAGGCTGGACATGTGGTCCAGAAACTGGCTTCTCGAATTCAATCCTGCCAAATGCAAAGTCATGAAGATTGGGGAGGGGCAAAGAAGACCGCAGACAGAGTATAGGCTAGGTGGACAAAGACTACAGACCTCACTCAGGGAGAAAGACCTTGGGGTGACCATAACACCGAGCACGTCACCGGAGGCACACATCAACCAAATAACTGCTGCAGCATACGGGCGCCTGGCAAACCTGAGAATAGCGTTCCGATACCTTAATAAGGAATCGTTCAAGACACTGTACACTGTGTATGTCAGGCCCATACTGGAGTATGCAGCACCAGTCTGGAACCCACACCTGGTCAAGCACGTCAAGAAGTTAGAGAAAGTACAAAGGTTTGCAACAAGGCTAGTCCGAGCTCAGGGGAATGTCGTACGAGGAAAGGTTGAGGGAAATTGGACTGACGACACTGGAGGACAGATGGGTCAGGGGAGACATGATAACGACATACAAGAAACTGCGGGGAATAGACAAGGTGGACAGAGATAGGATGTTCCCGAGAGGGGACACAGAAACAAGGGGTCACAGCTGGAAGCTGAAGACTCAGACGAGTCACAGGGACGTTAGGAAGTATTTCTTCAGTCATAGAGTCGTCAGGAAGTGGAATAGCCTAGCTAGTGAAGTAGTGGAGGCAGGAACCATACATAGTTTTAAGAAGAGGTATGGCAAAGCTCAGGAAGCAGATAGAGAGAGGACCTAGTAGCGATCAGTGAAGAGGCGGGGCCAGGAGCTGAGTCTCGACCCCTGCAACCACAATTAGGTGAGTACACACACACACACACACACACACACACACAACTGAGAAGTCAGAATAGGGGGGGTACACCACCAAGGGATATGCCAACAAGTTCTGGATGAAACACACACAACCGAGGAGAAGTTGAAGAAGCTGCTAAGTGAACTAGATACGTCAAAGGCGGTGGGGCCAGACAATATCTCTTTGTGGGTCCTTAGAGAGGGAGCAGAGATCCTGTGTGTGCCACTAACAACAATTTTCAACACATCCATTGGAACTGGGCAACTAAATGAGGTATGGAAGACAGCAAATGTAATCCCCATTTTTTAAGAAAGGAGACAGACATGAGGCACTAAACTACAGATCAGTGTCACTGACGTGTATAGTATGCAAAGTCATGCAGAAGATTATTAGGAGGAGAGAGGTGGAGCACCTAGAACGGAACAAGCTTATAAACGATAACCAGCACAAATTCAGGGAAGGAAAATCCTGTGTCACAAACCTACTGGAGTTTTGTGACAAGGTAACGGAAGTAAGACACGAGAGAGAGGAGTAGGTAGACTGTATTTTTTTTGGACTGCAAGAAGGCCTTCGACACAGTTCCTCACAAGAGATTAGTGCAAAAGCTAGAGGATCAGGCACACATAACACGAAAGGCACTGCAATGGATCAGATTATACCTGACAGGGAGGCAACAACAAGTCATGGTGTATGACGAGATGTCAGAGTGGGCGCCTGTAATGAGCGGGGTTCCACAGGGGTCATTTCTAGGACCAGTGCTATTTTTGGTATATGTAAATGACATGACGGAAAGGATAGACTCAGAATTGACCCTGTTTGCAGATGATGTGAAATTAATGAAGAGAATTAAATCGGATGAGGATCAGGCAGGACTACAAAGAGACCTGGACAGGCTGGACACCTGATCCAGCAACTGGCTCCTCGAATTTAACCCCACCAAAAGCAAAGTCATGAAGATCGGGGAAGGGCAAAGAAGACCGCAGAGTATAGGCTAGGCGGCCAAAGACTGCAAACATCTCTCAAGGAGAAAACTTCTGGAGTGAGTATAATACCGAGAACGTCTCCGGAAGCACGCATCAACCAGATAACTGCTGCAGCAAACGGGCGCCTGGCAAACCTGAGAATAGGATTCCGATACCCCAGTAAGGAATCGTTCAAGACTCTGTACACCGTGTATGTCAGGCCCATGCTGAAGTATGCAGCACCAGTTTGGAACCCACACCTGGTCAAGCACGTCAAGAAATTAGAGAAGGTGCAAAAGTTTGCAACAAGGCTAGTTCCAGAGCTAAGGGAAATGTCCTATGAAGAAAGATTAAGGGACATCGGCCTGACAACACTGGAGGACAGGAGGGTTAAAGGAGACATGATAATGACATACAAAATACTGCGAGTAATAGATAAGGTGGAAAAAGATAGGATGTTGTGGAGAGGAGACAAAGACACAAGGGGTCGCAGTTGGAAGTTGAAGACTCAGATGAGTCAAAAGGATGTTAGGAAGTATTTCTTCAGTCACAAAGTTGTCAAGAAGTGGAATAGTCTGGTAAGTGATGTAGATGAGGCAGGAACCATACATAGTTTTAAGACAATGTATGATAAAGCTCGTGAAGCAGGAAGAGAGAGGACCTACTAGCGACCAGTGAAGAGGAGGGGCCAGGAGCTGAGTCTCGACCCCGGCAACCACAATTCAGTTATACACCCCACACACACACACACACACACACCCCCACACACACACACACCCCACACACACACACCACACCACAACAACACACACACACACCAAAACACACACACACACACAAACACACACCCACACACCACACACACACACACCACACACACACACACACACCCGGGGAAACCTCCAAAACACAACCCAAACCAAACGACAAACCAAAAACACAACATTTTTAACCCCAACATCCCACCACCCCAAAAAAAAAGCCACACCCCCACCACCCCACAAAAACTAGCAACCAACACCAAAAACAATTCCCCAAACACACACAACCCGAACACATAAACAACACACACCCAAACAAAAAACAAACAAGTGACACAGACACACACCAACCCGCCACCCACAAAACAAAGAAACCAAACACAAATCAAAAAACTTATGTA